GAGCCAGAGAGCCGCTGTGCCTTCCTCATTTATGTGCCCCCGAAAGGTGGCAAAAAGAGGGGAACCCGCTAACGAGGTGACTCTTCGTCATCATCCTCACGATCAGCGTGAAGTATATCTTTAACTTATCGGGTTCTAAACGTGGTGTCAGAGGCGTGGGTCACTGCACATAGAAATCGGGCCACTTTTCTTTCGTTCTCTCGTGTCAGCTTCATAGAAACAAATGTTCTTTTTTATGTGCAGTCGAAAAAATGAAGATCGCGGTAGGTCGGCGCCTAAAAACAGGTGGCTGCACTTTGGAGATGAACCGTTGGGCATGTTCCCTTATAGCTAATCTAACACAGGCCCAAAAAACCAAAGCCAACACTAGAAGACTATACAGGGGGGGGGGGCAAAAAAAGACACTACGACCGAGTCACATATCAGCAAATTTTTCGCAGCCCAGACAGAGGACGTGGATACAGTACCGGGGCGGGAGATACCCAAGATGTTCCTTACGAGCAGGAGCTGGCGCTCGCCCATTACCTTCATGTACACCAGTGTATGAAGTCATCTCCAATCGCAGCCTGACTGGAGAAGGCCTCTGCAATTCACGTCACCTCCAAACAGCTGCGAAACTTCTTGAATGGAGACATCCATGGATAGCTACCTGGGGACCAGTACTCTTGATCTGCATGACCTCCAGCGTCCGAGGCAGCCTCCGACAACAGTCTCTGCGGCAAGGGAAATCATCTTCACCGCAGTCGCCCAATTCGTGGCGTTGGTGGTATGGACCAGCGTACATGGAATGGAAAGGACCGGATATTTTTCTTCGTGGACCCCGACCTGAAGGTGAGCGCTAGCGGTTACATCAAGCAACTCGAGAAGAATATCCTCCTCACATTGTCGTCACCCGTACCTTCTTGAAAACTTCTGTTACTGCTACGAGGGAGGGTGACACCACATGGAATCGAAGGGGCACGCGGTAACGGCCCGCGAAAAGTTGTCAGACACAGCAACAGTTTTTCCTACCTTTTGCATAGCTGACACTTCAGTTGATTCTCAAAGACCTTCTCATTAAGTATGGTTGAGAAACAAACCAAAAACCGCTCGCGGAAAATCGATCCGATCCACGAGGAAGAAAACATTCGCTGGGTTTGAAGTGAACGTTTGCTTAAATAATCTCCGAAAATTGGGTAATTTAACGTTAAGCCATACAATGCACTGAAGGCTACCTTTTTAGTCCCGTTTTAGAAAAATTTTATGAATAGAGAACAGCCGTTTGTTTCAGTATCACGTGATTGGCTTAATTTGGAATTCCGTGATCTGCGTATTCAATAATATTACTTCGCTATGGACCTGGTGCCTTTTGCATCATGGGCGAGCCGCATGAACTGCGTCGGTCAGGCGGTCTCGAAGCGAGCAAGATTGCGACTAGTGTGGTGCAAATGTTGAGTGTATTTCATTTTTTTTTTTATTTTTTCTCGGCACTTTAGATATTCCTATTGGGCCGAATTACACCCAATGTGGTGTGGATGTGTCACTCTCAGTCCGCGACGAGTGCGACGAAAATAGGCGGTTGCACGGGGCGGCTTTTGCACGGACAACAATATTCTCACCACGGACGCCAAGCGTAGCAGTGGTGCGGCCCGTCGACTTTCTCAGTCTGCCTGGCTTTGCAATATCTTCAAGTCGACCACCTCTCTCTCTCTCCATCTCTCTCTCTCTCACTCTCTCTGGCAAGGTGGTCTGCTGCACCAATTGGGCTGAAAAAGTGTATGCGAAAATAACCCACGTCGCGACTCGGAATAACGCTCCACTACCCATCAGTAGTTTGATCAACCTTTGAATCAACACTTCCATGGACAGCAGAAAACAACAAATCTGCCTCAGCGCCCGAGGAAGCATTAGGACAGTGTGGGAGTAGATTTCCTCATTGCGACCCCATCCCTCTTGAAATTTGCCAAACCGGTGAGGGAATTAGGAAAGCAAGCGTTCGATCACGTTCAGTAATGTAAAACAGCGACGGAGGGGAGCGAGAGGGAGGGAGAGTGCTGGAACAGGAAAAATTCAAAACAGAAAAAAAAATTCGAAAGAAAGTATCTCGGTCCGCGCAGCGACAAGCACTGTCTCACCTCCCCGATGTGAAAAAGATATTGAGACGCTAATCATTGGCAGATTCCAGTGAGGCAGGATATCCCGATCTAGGGCCACCCAAGAAATATGAAAAACTACGAGGGAATAATTTCTTCTGAGCTCTGTCTACCCCTCAGTGCCCTACGTGTTCCCTGAAGGCATATAATGTGGTGCTTGGGTGTAAACTGGTAAGTGCAAAAATGGCGAAAAAGCGGAATGAAATGGTCCAAAGCGTGGGAAAATCTTATTCTTCACGGACACTGCGAAGAGTGTACATGGCGTGGAAGATGTACATAGCGGCGACAAAAGCGCACATTCTGCCTTTAAAGCAATTAATCGTACACGTGCATGGATAGTTGGTCCTTCAATTATGAACAGTAGAGTGAATAAGTTAACTTCCGCCAAAGAGAAAAAAAGCAAGAAGAAGAGCATCAAGAGCGTCATATACAAGAATCAGCTCCCTGCAGCGTTCACAGCATGCGGTCTCTGTGCAACCCCCTGGCTCACAAATCCTCTAAGCACATTCCCAGTAGTGGATATCATGCCAACAAAGAAAAGATTCGAAAAACAACGAAAACACGGAAGGAACAACTCGTGAAAAGGATAAGGAAAACTTTCAAAAACGCGGCGTCTGAATTAGGGCTAACGGTAGCTGCGTGCACCTTCAGTGTGGTGCGTCGCAGCTTTTACACCACGAGAAATTGGGTAGCGCTCGTGCTTCTTAGCGCGTTTTCCGTCCATTGCGAGATGGGATTGGAATTGACTGTGTCTGCTCTCCAATGAATAAAATGTAATGAGAAGAGCAGGAATCGTTTACATGGGCACGACGCGGTCAGAAAAGTGCATCGATTTCTAATGTAATGCCCGCTGCCCGAACAAAGAACTAACTGAACTTTCAGCGGCTGTAGGCTCGCTCCTCGCTCTATGGAGTCGCTTAGAGTGGCGCTACGGCTCTAGTTGGGTGGCTGTACTACTCGCCACAAGGGGAGGACGGCCATGTACTGACTTGGGCGCGGCTGTCTGTAATCGGCCACTGTCTTTAATCGGTAGACACGGCTCGCACTTTTGTCTCAGTGGTGGATAACCAACAAAACATATATACTAACCTTAACCAGCGAATCCATCGTAATTAATGCGGTGTGAAAAAAGTTGACGACAGCCGCATTAGACGAGCTGGCACTATTGCATTACTTGTAAGTAAGCCAAGTTTGTTGAAAACTGTGGTTCTCATCACAGGGATAGTACACCGTCACCAGCAGGGATTTCCCAGGTATGCGTTTTAAGCTCCCAAGCTGTTAGCGGCTGTGCATGATTTTTCCCGTCCCACGGATTGTGATCTTCCCATTCAGGGTGGCTAACTAAGCCTTGCCTTTGGCAAAAACCTTGTGCAAATCTGCTTCTTGGGAAAAATTACTGAACAAAAAGTTACCCCCAACCTCCAAACAACTCAGGCAGCTGAGGGTGAATAGCTCGTCCTTTTATCGCAAGGAAAGTACGACGAAGGTATTCCGGACCAGCGACGATAGGGAACTCTGCCTAGGTCCCAGGCAAACGAGATTTGATGTGAGTAAACCCCTTCTGCCCAGTTTACTGGAATAGCGCCCACAATCTTTTCGTAGAAGCGTTTCTAGTAATCAATTACATCGACAGATACATCGACAGCTGTGTGGGCACACTCTCGATCAGTGATCACACGAAAAATTACTTAGGCTTATTGTCTAACTAATAATTAATTGTTCAACGTATCAGATTGATAGCGTGCCTCTGATCGCCTTCTGAGAACGGACCAGTGAACTCATTAATTACTTATGCGAGCAAGGGTATTGACTTTTTTGCACTGAAAACTGGGAAATGCGGTACTGCATTGATCATCTTGTGAAAAAAAGTGGGCCAATGTCGAACATACGCTCATTAATCATCGAAGAAATGTGTTATTCAAAATACAACAATTTGTAACATTTGGCTCTATTTTTGACCCTCATAAAAAGCACCAGTCTCACTTCCGGAGAACGAATTTTGCATTCTATCATGTAAAGTCTTCATCCGGCAGAAACCGTGCAGAGTACATTTTACAAGTGTGGTAATACTTGTATCAGCAACAGAATGGCAACGTGGGCGATCGTACGGCCACATTTGCGACGTGGGAGTGGTCGTAATCTGTGCCTTTTTCGATCTACTGAACCCAGTCCCTAGTCATAAGCTGCAGTAGAATCGAAATTAAAAACATAGGGCACGATAGTTTGGCATCCGGTCCAAATTGGTAGCAGGGGTAATATGTAGTGGGAAATATGGCGAAAAGGCGATGTGGAAAGGTCAAAAAGCTGCAAAAAAGCCTTTGTTCTAAACGACTCAGCAATTTCGGACGAGTTTCCCGTTGGCATCATGCCAATAACCGCTACGATAGATACGGCTGCAGGTATTTACTCCTAACTCCGTAAGCTCCACAGCCGCTTCATATCAACCCCTTCGTTTCCTGGTGTACTTCGCTGAAGCGATACCAGCATCGCTCGTACATCTGTGGGCGGGCGCGGGAGCGGTGGGCGTCCGAGTCGATATGTTGCAGCTTGACAGGGCGGTACCTTTTTTGGGAAAGGCGCCACACAGCGCCTGCTCAAAGGCGCAAAATTTTGTCCTGCTAGGCGTTCAATTCTGCTCGTCTTGGGGATTTATCGTGCCACCTGCCACTGATAAACGATTGTCGCTAGTGTAGTGAAAGCTGAACGAAAAATTGTTTTGTTTACACGTCACTGACTTGTTTTCATCTAGCCGCGATGCCTCCCGAATAAATGCCGGAGGTGTATGGAAAATCAGACGACCCTCAATAAATCGTGCGAAATGTTCGATGCCAGATCCCCAGGCGGATCAGAACCTGATGTTTATGTGGCATGTCGCTGGCCGACACTCAATGCGATCCGTCTTTGAGCGCTACGTATCCGTGTCGATATAGAAAGAAACAACTGCAACACATTGCCGAGTGGGCGGTGATTTTCCTGTCGTTGTCCTATGAATGTACGTGACATTGGCAGATACAACCTCAAATGATAAATCACCAAGTTATTGATGAATTGGTCAATGCGCCATGCATCTGGCTCCCATCCAACTTCGTAGATGCACGTTTGCCCCAGATAGATGAAGAGAAGTCGAGCTTGGTGGACCCACGAGTGGTACTCATATCTAATCTTCTTCACGCAACCTCATTAAAGCCTGTCTATTCCTGTGACCAAAGTGGCTCACTCAAACGGCTTCTAGGCTTTACTGAAGTGTGAGGGTCTAACCGAAATGGGACCAGTTAGTTATCGTGAACTAACAAAACCGAACAAGCGAAAAGGCTGAATGCCCTATACAAGGCGAGTAGCGCCGCTCCACTTGAATCTGCATTTCTTTCAGTTATCTATACATTTTTAACACAATTAGAAGGAAATTAGGAAGGGTAGAGAGCTGAAAATGTCACAAGAGAAGTGGCGATCCCAACAGAAAACGGAAGGGGTAAACGTTTTTTTGCTTTCCAATTTCACCACGAAACGGCTCCCACCATATCAGTAGGTGGCAGCTGTGAGCTAGCCCGTATCGATGCTCATGGTGTCTAATAGTCTAAGGCATAGAAATTGATTGCAATCGTTCCGCCCCCGAATGCACAACAACTAGCGTTCAGAGTTCGCGATGACGCGCGTCGACGTGCTACACTTGACAGCGCTCCAATCCTATAGACGCGAACGCAAACGGAAATTGATGGGCGATAGCACCGCGTTGGTGGTCAGTGCCGATCGATACCAGACCGCGTCATTGGGCGACGTTCTCCCATACTTTCTTGATGCATAAGCGAGCGGCGCCGATCGACTCCCTTTGTGGCTACATTTGCGCCTACAGCCTCATAGCGCTGTTGCTATTGTTGTAGCGCACTACAGCGCGTCAACGCGAGTCATCGCGAAGTAAGTCCGAACGCTGGCTAAGGTCGCATCAATCTCCACGAGAGCGGCGCCTGTAGGGAGCGACTGCGATTGGTGAGTGGCTCTCGTCCACCAATCACGAGCAGCACTCGTCCATTCGAAAACACTAAATGAACCCATTGATTAGGCGATGTAATAAATTGTAATAAATCAATTTTAGCCGATTTGTGATTGTTACGATATTCCTGCCAATGAAGAATAGCATTGGTGAATCGTGGTCATACCTCATACTGTTCGTGGCCCCAGTTATCGCATCCGTAGTCTTTCTTTACTTCAAATTACCTGAAACGAAGAATAAAACTCCGATCGAGGTGAGCATTATCGATTGAATTTCGTCACTAGGAAGAGTGAGAAGTGTCATCATCACCCTGTTTTTCGATGATATTTTTAGGTAGATGAAGCTGCTGCGAAGCTTCCTAAAATATTCTTCCTGAAGCCTCGAGTAGTTGCGGATGTTACGAGTATAAAATTATGATACATATTTATTGTTGTTATCGTTAATAAAATGTTATCCGTGCGATCCTATGTGGTAAAGTGTGTGCGGTAGACGAGTAGACGTGGAATATGAGTGCAGAAATACTTCTTGTCACTAGTAAAATATTGAACGGTATTATTACGGTAATTCTACTCCTGCACGACATGCTTTTTAAATTACGAAGCTCCATGTTTTCTTTTCTTTACAGCTGGAAGGAGCTGAGCCAAGGTGGCCAGGGTTTTCTCTGAGCCTTTGCAGGGAAGGAGTTTGGTGGTGGGCAAGCCATTTCGTAAGCATCTGTGGATAACTTCAAATGTTTTGTAGGATGCTAACGAACCGCAGTTGTTTCCGCTGCAAACGCTAGGGCGTGTCGCGGGAGGGAACTAAACTTGACCCGGGTTTTACCCTTCTCCACTGATTGTTGTAGCAGGCAAGCAACAACAATTGGTGGAAACCTGTTGGCGCCGTGTCGTCGTTGGCACCCTTGACACGCCTCAGCGTCTGCAGCGAAAGCGACTATTAATTGCACATCGCAATAGAGAGAACACTGTGAGCAACTTGATCACACGAGTCGCCATTGCATCTCGTGTATGATGGGATTGAAGTACGGATTCGTGTATAGTGATTGCAGCAATCGAACACGGCAACTAAGACCCAACTGATCGGCAACAATGAGGGAGTGTGCAATGAATAAAGACGCAGAGACGCTCAGTAACGCGGGAAGGGCGCAGGGCACCGCAAGGGAACGGACCTTCAATCGCATGCGATGGAGATCCGATGGAGGGCACGTCTTGCCGATGAGGATGATTTTCGGAATACCACATCTTCGGAATTTTCCGAAAAATTTTCCGGTGCTTTTTTCCATGAATTTGTCGTCGAGGTCGAGCGGGAGGATAGGGCACATGTGAAACGGAAAAATCACGAAAAGTCGTCAACCGGGAAAAAACTTTCGTAACGCCGCAGATTTCTCTCGAACGCAAAAACGCCCCCTCCCCCCTTCCCTTACAGAGTCCGTGGAACAAGAAAAATCAGTTATCAAAAGAATTTTTCTCAAACCAAATACCACCCCACCCTCCCCTAGCGACCAGATACGACCCCCCCCCTCCCCGCTGGGGATTCCCCAACGTACGAATTGGTCTGACCCGATGCAGCGGGAGGAGCCAGAATAAAGAAGGTGTGATTAGCGTTAAGTGACGAGCCCCTATCGCACTTGTCCCACACTTTGGCGTGGCGAAGTGGTACATTATGTGCCTGGTCATCGTCTGCGGAATCGAATCCACCACCCGCTGAAATGTCACGGATTGTTTTTTTTTCTAGGCTCTACGTACTCAATCACAACATTTGCACTTTGAGGGGCGGTTTCTTCAAAACTTGTCGCTGACTTTTTTCATCGAAAAACAGTGTGTAAAAGGTGTATTGAGATTTGCACGGCCACCCATTGTTATCACACTGCTTCCTCTAACAAACGATCAAGCGTCCCATATTAAATCCCCTCCCCCACCCACGTAGCCGTAATTCATTTAGGGAAATAAATTGATAACTAATAACTAATAACTATTAGGCTGTCCGGAAAGTTCTGCACGTTTCGAGTGTTTCACTTTAAACGATCATAACATTCTTAATACTCATCGGATTCAATCGAAATAGGCACCATTCGAATCAGCACGTCGAGAGTTCACGAAATCCACAAACGGCTTTTTTTGCCTGGTCTCTGATATGATGAATGTATCCAGCAAGGGAGTTCTTGAAATGTTTGAAAAGGTGATAGTCGATTGGCGAAAGGTCTAAAGAATATGGCGGTTGAGGTAGAACTTCAACCCCCAATTCGTTCAATTTATGGATAGTGATTTGTGAAACGTGTGAGCGGGCGTTGTCATGCAAAAGAATCGGATCGGACCCTTTCTTTTGATAAGTGTTGGCTCAGCTGACAAAATTTTCGGTATATTTCGTCGATTCGTTCACAGTAGGGTTCTGCTGTGATGGTTTGGCCAGGTGATAAAAAGTTCTAGTGGATCACACCTACCGATGACCGCCAAGGCGTGACCAGAATCTTTTTTTCGTGAGGGTTCGGCTTTGAAAATTACCTGGGTGGTTTGTCGGAATCCAACCACTGTCCGGAACATCTCCTTTTATCATACATGATCCACTTTTCATCATAGGTGACAATTCGGTTCAAAAACGGGTCGTTTCTGTTGCGCAAAAGCTGTGAAGAAGAAACCGCAAGTCCGTGCCAATTTCTGCCGGTCACTCAAATTGTGGGGCACCCACTTATCGAGTTTTTTCACCTTCTCAATGCGTTCCAGACCATCTGCAACAGTGGATTTGCCAACGCCTAGCTCTTCTGCTATCTCTCGAACTGTTTGGGATGGGTCAGCCTCCACAAACGCCTTAAGGTCAGGTATTGCTTTAGGTCGACCGCTATGAGGTTCATCTTCATGGCTGAGATCTCCAGAATGAGACTTGTTGAACCATTGCCGCACAGTGCTTTCTCTAGCACTATTGGGCCCTCACACCTGGTTAATTTGTTGAGCTGTTTCGATTGCGGATTCCCCTAATTTATTAGAAAAAATTTATTAGAAAAAAATCGTCCGAAGTGCTCATTTCACATGCTTGAAAACATCTTAAAAAAAGGGGCTCATCAAGCAATGGTGAAACGGCACTTATACCATCAGATAGCGCAAAAAATTCTCTTTAGGTAGTACTACTGAGACGCAAAGGAGAGTGAGTTTTTAATTAGCAATGAATGTTCGAAAAATAGTAACACAAAACGCGCAGAACATTCCGGACAACCTAATACTAAATAACTAGTGACTTTCCCTTTCCATGAGTGTACAACTGATCCTAATGGAACCAGGACACGCCATCGCGTTGTGATAATTTCTTGCAAAATACGACCCCACTGATTCCATTCTGATACACCCCACCCCCTCCCCATCCTGCCTAGCAATTTCCTAATTTCCCACTTACTACCACTCTCCCAGTTTTTTTCCGCCATTTCCCGAAAACTTTATTCTTTTTTCCTAAAATTCTGCTGCTGAGCGGGGGGGGGGGAGGTCATGAAGTCGTCAGGAACTAGCTACTACTTTCAGTTATCGGAAATAATAGTTAAAACCTTGGCGGCGCCACCAACTAGGGTGGCATAAAACACCAGTGAAACAGAAACGACCGCAAAAAGTTAACAACCAGAAAAAGTTTTTTTTCCCAACGCTCAAAAAGTCCTCTCAAAAACATATAAGACCCCCGTCCTTTCCCTACCAACAACGAGCAAATACGACCCCTCCGATTTATAGCGTCCGCGAGACAAGAGAAACCAACCATCAAAAAAATTTTCTCATGCCAAATGCGACCCTCCTCCCTTCCTCTCGGTCAAATACGACACCCCGTTGTGGTTATCAGAAAGATGGCGTGCCCTGACTGGAACCGCACCACGTTGTGGGGGACCTCTTTTGAAGCCTAGCCACCCTCTTACCAACTTTTCCCGAGATTTAGCCGTCGAGCAGCGGAGGGGCAAACAACTCCGATGAGCTATCAAAAACCAGTCGGATCTCCCTTCTTCGCGTGAAGAGCGTCCTCCCCCTCAAATTTTCATAAGAGATAGGGTTAGTTGGATCAGCCACTTCACCTGCACATGGGAATTTTTTTTGAAAATCTCCAATCTTTTCTTTTTGATCGTCGCATGTCCCCCCTCTTCGGCAACAAGCGAATACAGCTTTACTGTTTGATACCTAATCAAGATATCAAACAGTAGAGTTGTATTCGCTTGTTGCTTGTCTGTCCCAGTTGTTCAATGTAGGTACGCAAAACTTTTTGAGCCATTACACCAATCCAAATGCAAGCACAAGGTCTGACGGGTCCGAATGAGTGAATAGGATTGTAAAAATGTTGGATCAGTGATGCGAAACTTTCTCTGATAATCATTCTGCTATTCTTCTGTAATAAAGCCGTCACCCTATTCGTCTCCGGCGCTCGAGGAGACAACTGAAAAATAATCACTATTAAACATTCCTGAGTCTTACAAACACGGGTGGGTGTGCTAGCATCTTGGAGCCTGATAACCCAGACTTGATAACTCTAAAGGTTGCAAACTTCACATGACGTCCTGAGTAAGATGCCGTATTGGAAGCAGAAAAACTGACCCTTCCTTTTCAGTCAGCGCTGAAACCTCTTATAATGCTCTCAATTGACCGTGTACTAAGTACAATCGTCATTCGGTAAATGATAGGGCCGTTGAGGGGACGCAGCCGCATGCAGCAGCGGCTCTTTCATCTGGGAACTGTTCGGGAAACGGCACAACTATTTAGTATGGCTGCGTTTATACTTTGCGGCAGCGTAGCGTAGCGGTAGCGCTTCCAGCGTACGCCAGCGGCAGTGCCGGGGAAAGGATAGATATCGATCTAGTTTCACCAGCGTCACCAGCGTCACGCTAGCGTACGCTAGCGTTTCTCCAGCGTTTCACCAGCGTTTTGCTAGCGTTTGCAGCGGCTGGGGAGTAGAGACTATGGGAGAGCTGGAGGGTACAAAACACATCGATTGCGCGTCTCTCACTCGCCCTTAGTCTTTACAATGCACATCGCTTCTGCGTCTCCCACGGCCCCATAGTCTCTACTATACACGTCGATTCCGTGTCTCTGCCGGCCACATAGTCTCTACTCCTGCCGCTGGAGAAACCTTCGAAGAAAACGCTGGTGAAGCTAGATCGATAGCTATGATTCCCGTGCCGTCTACTAGCCACGGTGCCGCTGGCGTAGCTGGAAGCGCTACGCTTCCCGGCTGCGCAAAAGTATAAACGCAGCCTTACTCTCGTTCCACGCGCCGTATAAAACGGCAGCATACGCCTTTACCATCATTATGTTATCCAGGACCATCTGTTCCCTGCATAATTACTACATGCTCTTCTCACTTTCTTTTCCATTTGGTAACATTTCTTCTGGAGTAATACCTTCGGCATACAGTTTCTGCGCGTAGGACCTGAAAATGCTTGAACTTTGAGGCTATGCTGT